TATTTGGAATATGCATATTATTATTTCTACTACAGTAGAACCTAGAGATCCTATCCAACATCAGAGCTCCATTGTGTTAGGTGCTGTACAAACCCATAGTAAAAGAAGAGTTTTTACTCCAAAGAGCTTACAATGTCATAGGCAAGACAGACAAAAGATAGCAAAAAGAGTTAAAACGTACAAGCAGAAGATTGGAAACGGAGACATAGACAGATTAAGGGTTTGTCTACATGGGGAAATTTACCAGCAAAATTATTCTGGTATAATTATACAGCTATAGTTATACTGGTATCATTTCCTGTGTGGATGCTCTAATTCCAGAATAAGAGTGCCTCTTTCTGGTTTAGCTTATGTCACCTTGAAAGCAGTATAATCTAAACCAGAAAGAAGCACTCTAATTCTTGAAAACCATTCACACAGGAAGTTATACCAGTATACCTATAGCTGTATAATTACAGTGGTACAGTTCTACCGGTAAATTTTACTTTGTATGCAAGCCTTAATACTGTACTGATCCTACAAAGAGCTCCATGCAGGTAGACTCCTGCATGGAGCCCCATTCACTTACACCAGGCTCTGGGTCTAAATCTCCCCTCCCCCTAAAGTCACACAGGAAGTCTTTGGCAGAGCTGAGGATTGAACCCAGATATCCTGAGTCCCAGTTCACTACTTCATTCACAAGACAATCCCTAACCTTCCAACTGAATACAGAATCCCACTCAGACTTTATTTTCTTTCTAAATTTTTCCATAATAAGCGCATGACTCCATGCTTTAAAATAGCAAAACCATTCAACACCAATTTGTGTATGTGCTGTGTATACAGACAGGTGAGAAGCAAAAAGTGCAGTATGTCTGTCTTTGCAGTGAGCAGAGTGCAGAGTACAACAGGATACAGGAGTTTCAGAGAAAGGTTACAGTGCTCTCTGTTGATCACAGTCAGCATCAAGAGGAGACAGAGAGAGGAGAAGGGGGAAGGGGAGTACAGATACAGCATGACAGCCCAGTACTGACTTCAGTGAGGGTTTTGCTTGATTCAGAGCTGTCAGTGCAGGCCCTCAGAAAGTTCCTTCATCAAGAAGTTGCAATAGGAACTGATTTTTAACCTTTTTCAGGCTGTTTGAGCCTTTAGCTCTTTCATTATCTGCATAACAGGCTCTTATACAAAACCAAAGGAATCATTTTAGGACCTAGACATAGCCATCAAAGTGAGAGCCTCAGGGCAGGTAGTGAACTCAAGAATACGCTCAGAGCACAGGAATAAACTAGGTTTCAGAGTAGCAGCCGTGTTAGTCTGTATCCGCAAAAAGAACAGGAGTACTTGTGGCACCTTAGAGACTAACAAACTTATTAGAGCATAAGCTTTCGTGGGCTACAGCCCACTTCTTCGGATGCATAGAATTCTATGCATCCAAAGAAGTGGGCTGTAGCCCACGAAAGCTTATGCTCTAATAAACTTGTTAGGCCTTGGCTACACTCGCGGATTGTACACTCGCAAGTGTAGTCGCGCCGGCAGTGCTGCGAGAGCTCTCTCGCAGCGCTGCAAGAGCTCCACCTCTCCGAGGGGAATAGCTTGCAGCGCTGCGAGCGAGCGTGCAGCGCTGCAGGCACTGATTACACTGGCGCTTTACAGCGCTGCGCTCGGGGGGGGGGGTATTTTTTAACGA